GAAGACGAGGGGTATTCAAGGAGACCAGGAAACCTCTTCATCTTTCGTTTTGCTGTTTTGGCGTTTGCATGATGGCTCTGTGAAACAAGTAACGTGACAGGGGTGACTGCAAGTGCTGACCCACGCTGACACCACCAGCACTTTCTCCTAATAAGGTCACCCGGATTGGATCTAACACTTTTCGATCTGGTTCACGTCCTCCTCCATGGTCCCAGCTTATCATTGTTCTTTTACACAGGATATCTGATGCTAGTTACCCAGATTAGAGGCTGTTACCAAAAGCTATAATTTTGTCAGTCTGGATGAGATAGGAAGATATTTAAAAGTGCGTCTTGCGTATTACCTTAGCGTGATTCTTTGATTGTCAGGTTATCTTTAAATATGGTTGCCTTTATTAACGACCTGTCTCATGGAGTAGGTAGATGTGGAAAACATAGTGATCAGTTCTTTCCAGACATCATTTATACATTAATGCTTTTATTTGCTTATGTGTGAGAGAAACACTAGTTGAAGCAATCTTGTTCTTATTTACAGTTCTGTTGAAGGTATCACGTGTGACATATAATGTAATTCTTTGATTGTAAGAGTGATTTCAAACTTCAAACAATGACATCAAACATTAGTTTTCGTTTGAGTAATACCATACTCCAAATTGTTCATCCAGGAAATGGCTTCTACATGTGTAATAAAATATCAGTGGGGACTGTAACTTTCTCCAGAGAATTAGGAATCACGTGTTTAAAACATATAAATCATATAATGATTCAGAGTGACAAAACACTATCCACAAGACTGTAGGATTAGAGGAATAACTTCAACTTTCCAAAAGTCTACTTTCCCTTCATGTCGAGCAATATTCCAGCAGCTCCTGCCTTGGTGTCTACATGTCACAACTTTTGATACAATCGAGCATGCTCTTTCTACCAAGATTTCATGGAGCATCATATGACTCTTGCTAAGACGTTGTTTGATCAAGGTTCAAGGCCTCAGTAAAGCTTTCAAAACGTTTTATGTGGAAGACATTTCTAAATCAGTGAGAACAATAATGTCCGATTAAATTCCATATTTTGACGTGTACCATATGTTCCCCATATTCTTTCGGGTGAACAGTTGACTTGCCTTTGCATGTGTTAGTGACGGATGCCACCGATGGGGCAGGATACGCTACACCTTTTCACGAACACCTGGTATCATCACTATTTGATAGGGATTCATAAACACATGCACATGATATAGTACACTGGCTGCCTCGAGGGGGAAAAGCTGGACCAGAACCCTCATCATTCACCTGGGCTCCAACGACCTGTGCTTGGTCAAGGGAAGCCAACTCTACCTTGATATGGTGGCATCAATCCTTCGGATACGACTCCAGCTTCCCGACACCAGGATCATCATATCCTCAATGCTGCCCCGCCACTACTGGCACGATGCCAGGGATCCAATAAAGATCAAGGGGATACGGAACAATATCCACCGCCGAAGAGCTCGGCGGTACCATCGTGCCACATCCCCAGATCCTGGCATCAGACAAGGCATGGTACGCCTGGGAAGGCGTCCACCTTAGTGACAATGGACTGTGTGTGTTTACGGACAATTTATTGCATGACCTGGCACTTGTTTTGCGCTAGTAAAGAGGTTATCTCCACATGGCAACGGTAGCATTTTGGTATACCCAACTAGCAGCTTAGTAGCCCACTAGTACCTGCTCATCCTCGGCCAATCGAATCTTGTCTTTGAAAGGCATTTAGAAGTGATACACATAAGGAAGAGAATATATGGATGTCAACTTCTTTATTATGAAGAACACAACGTTTCGGAGTATATGCTAACTACCTTCACTCTGAAACGTCGTGTTCCTCATAATAAAGAAGTATGTGCTTACTCCTTCATCAGGTGAAGGAGTGAGCATATACTCTGAAACGTTGTGTTCCTCATTATAAAGAAATTGACATCCATATATATTCTCTTCCTCAATCTCATCTTGTGGGTAATTTTAGGCACGGGCATCCACAGCTTGGTGGCCCGCGCCTCTCCTTGGCACGTCTTTGGATAACTGAAAAGAAAGAATACAAGGGCTGTATAGCAAAGTATATAACGCCGTTTCCAGTGAACAATCATCCCGATTATCTACCATTTTGCATTAAAGAGTCAGTGTCTTCTTGTTGCCTTGTAAAACAATGTAGTCTTGTTACGAAGTCCATCACCAATTCCCTACTGACTTAGAGTTACAACAAAGTGTCAATAACTATATTGTTAAAAATAACATATTTCCTTTGGATCGTTCTGGAACCGTCTTGAGGGTGTCCAATATGTTTACTTCACACTACGCGGTTTGTGTTATTATTACATCCTTTACAGATTCGAAAGCGTCCTTAACCCAAACAGCGGATTGTTTGATGACTACAACGGCAATTAGCAAGGTACTGTGTAGCATAATTTCATTGAGAGAAAACGTTGTATAATTCACGCCATGGAACTCCATACACATGTTACTGAAACAAGGACACGTAAATGAACGACAGTTTTTAAACTCATATAGACTGGGAGAAAAACTTGTTATTTATCTTTCAGGACGTTTGATTGAATACATGTCCACAACGTGTTTCTTGGTCATTATAAATTGTATTTTTTAACTTAAGTTATTGTTGTCTACTGTGATACTGAAACCAAGCCATTGATAAACAAAAGCGTAATTTCTACGTTAATTCAATTGACGGTGTTCACCATCTTTACTTAAAAATAAGCGATGTGTAGTGTTATTATTTACAGAGCCTGAGACATGTTTTGAGATCAGGAAAACAACCCAGAAGCTCAGAGTGGAGTTTACAAGATCATTCCTTCGGCTCCTCAGTTAAAGGGTGTGTCAGTGAAGGTCCACTGCCAAATAGGAACATTGGAAAATATTTTGGAGGTCGAACAGTAATGAACAGGCATCTTTAATGGCTGCTTGTGTAGAGTAACGGTGTATGCAGTGTTAGTCAGGAGGTTCTAACTAATGCTTCCTGTACAATTGAGATATTTTCAAATGCGCCCACATGTACACGTCATAAATTTGGTATTGTTTGTTTGATTTTTAACGCCGCATGCAGTATTCGAGCCTTGATCTGACAATCCATTCATTGATATCCTGAGCATCGATTTACACATTCCCGATAGATAACATGCATCATCCAAGTCAGCGAGGCATGACCACCCGATCCCGTTCGTCGCTTCCTGCGACACGCTACCCCCTGGCATACAGATGCTCCATATGAGACACGCTTTCCATAAAAGGTGACTAACGGGATCGGGTAGTCAGGCTCGTTGGCTCGGTTGATGGATGTCATCGTATCCCAATTGTGTGGATCGATGATCATGATATCAATCACTGAATTGTCTGGTCCAGACATGATTATTTACAGACGTCTGGCTTATAGCTGGAATAATGCTGAATGCGGCGGTAACAACAAATAACCTAATCTAACCATATGAGACATAACACACCGGCCAGGATCATGAACAGGTATTGGTACTGATGTTATTGTGTGCATTTCTACAACATTTCCATGCTTTCCTGAGGTAGACCTTAACTGATTTGGATTTTTTGAAAATATTCACATATACATTAATGGCAACATTGTTCCAAGCGTCAGGAAACTGGTTTTTTTGTGGAGTGCAATGTGGTCATCGTGTCATAGCTGATCCTCCAGTACAATGATGATTCTGACACAATTTAGACAGGAGACATTTTCCTTTCAATCAGATGCTCCATGGTTTTGCATACAACAATTTCGATTACCACACAATCCATAAATCCCTGTAAAGACCTTTCTAGACTCCGATTTGCCTCAGTTACCGTCCTAATCAGGAATGTTTCGATAAATCTTTACTAAGTGCTGTCTGCCATCAATTCAATCGTTACATAACAAAGCGATCTCTTTGTAGCAATCTTATTGATCATGACAACAGTGGTATCTCCACTACTTCTCACGTCACATGCATGTAATGTTAATGTGACCCGTGTCTGCCTCCAAACATGTAGTTCTTTCTCACTCCTTTTGTTTACCGTAGCTTGGCAGGATAGGAAGACCATCCGTTTACTTGATTTGTATTACATGAACGTCTTTGAAAATGCAGATGGATATTGGCTACTTCAGGACACTTTTCTTGATTGTTAGTATTTCAATAGCATCAAGTTTGGAAGAATCTCATTTTAAAAAGACAACCAGTGGCGTTCCAGCCGTTTTAGACAACTCCCAACATCTCCAGGTCCAGAAAGTGTTTGGACTAACGACATGTGCCATGTTGTGTTCACGCACGTCATGCCATGAGTTCCAGTATTCTGACACAAGCCGCACGTGCATCACACGACATTCAGAGCCAATATCTGACAGCGTCCTTAACCCAGGCAGCGGATTGTTTGACATCTTCAACGACAACGAGCAAGGTACTGGGTAGCATAATTTCGTTGAGAGAAAACATTGTATAGTTCACACCATAGATCTAAAAACTAAAACATGGATACTTTAATGAACCTCTGGTTTTAAACCTTTATAGAGTGGGAGAAAAGCTGGCTATTTATCTTTCAGGACGTTTGATTGAATACATGTCCACAAAGCCTCTCTTTGTCACTTTGTTCCTTTTTACTTTTGTCATTGGAGCCAACTGTGATACTGAACCTGTGCCACAGATAAACAAAAGCGTCATAACTACGTTAATTCAATTGATGGTGTACAATATCTTTACTTCAAAATACGTGATGTATATTATTATTGCTTTACAGAGCCTAAGACATGTTTTGAGATCAGGAAAAACAACCCAGAAGCTCAGAGTGGAGAGTATAAGATCATTTCCTCGGCTCCTCAGTTTGAGGGTGTGTCAGTGAAGGTCTACTGCTTGATGAATGACACACACCAGATAGAATATGTCACACTGCCAAATAGGAACATTGGAAACTTTCCCAAAAGGTCGAACAATAATTGCAGAAATGAACATTCATATTTACCAGCTGGTGCTGTTGGTAAAGACGGAGTAACAGAGTATCAGAAGATCAGAGTAAAGCCATCGGTAAGTGCCCTTTTACTTTCGGTTTCTGTGATATGTGAGTGTGTGGCTTCGGAGTGGGTGTGAGGTAATGTGAAGTGGAGAACCTACTTTGCACTATTATAAATATTTATTTCAAATATGTTCAAATTTCAATTTTGTTTTGAGAAAATTATCATTATTTCCCTTCAATTCTTAAAAACTTAAATAAATAAGCTTGTAGAATATATTATGTATCTGGAGAAATGGTATATTTCCATGCTTTAGACTATGACTGTTGTGAGAACTGACACCACCTTCACAAGCGGGAACAAGACGAAGCCACATACATTTGGTACAGCAAAAGATTGTTACTCATATTCTGGAAGCTGCAAACGAATAGGAACCTTTCACATCGACACACTAGGCACAGGGATGAAGTTCTCCACTGATGTAAGTGATTCCTTTTCGCGAGCGTTATCAATATGCTAAAGTATATCAACGATAACATTCAAAGACCGAAGATGTAGAATAAAAAGATGCGCTGTTGTAACGCAGCCCTGGGATAATCCATCTAGTAAGTCATCTTGATTTCGCGACAAGCAAATAAATTATGATGTTAAAATGTTACATGCACATTTGAATGTAGATAAGAATCATAAGATCAACCATTAATGTTGTTTTCGTTTAATTTAATGATGACCATTGCTATCTTGACAGTAGCAAAGTTCGTTCATACTTGTTATGTAAATGCATCAAAGTACAACCATTCATTTCCAGCTTAAGTGGACTGGAAAAGGAAGCGTAGGCAAAGTGTACAGTATAACCCGGACACAGAATGGCGCCGTCATTGATCTGGTGTGTGGAGGCTGGTGTGGGGGATGCGATCCTGATGGAGATATGATCCTCTACCCAAACAATCTGGATATTCAGCCATAGGTCTACCCGTTGTGTGGAGGATAGTGTGGATTGTGTTAAGTATAAATCCGCAAATTGAAACAATAAGCTAACCGAGATATCTGTACGTAAAAAGTGGTATATAATCAACAATTGTATTATTAAATGAATATTGTTTACAAATCAATACAAATTACTGCACATGGATGACAGTATACAATAGAATGGTCAATATCAAATACAAAAACAGCAGTGATAAGAAAAGTCAGTTATAATAATATATTGACCCAGCAGCGACAGTGCTAAAGCTTTCGCGATAATCATAGTTGGATGTAGTAGGAAATATGAAACTAAGAATATATTCACATATTTGATTACGAATACTGTTAACCTTTGGAAAGACGGTGAAAAAATATTTCGACCAATTATAATGTGCAGCGTCGCCATTTGTTGCAAAGATGAAAACAATGGAGACAGCTTCAGTGTCTATTTAGAAATGCCATTTCGCCAATTGTGTTTCATTTTATATTTATTAAAATGGATATTATGAATCATTTGAACTGTATTTAGGTATATATATAATATGTATAAAAGACTTAATGTTATGATTGTCATAAGAGGAATGTGCACACACCGATAACCATAAAGCAATGGCATAGCAGTCTTACATGTTGCCTTCTATTTCCACTTGTTCTATCACGGCTAATCAGATATGGCAATATGGGAATGTTACAACATTGTCAACAATATTCCAGTTTCAAGCCACTTGCTGCAATAGCATGCGAGACGCTTAACATACAGGGTATAATGAAACATAAACAAACTAACACATCCTGACCTGAACTGAACTGTCCACTCTACAAGAAAGGGGAGGTTAGGGTCTAGCCTATTCTATATCTGTATGCCTTTAAGTATTTGTAGGGAGAAAGTTCTGTAATACAATAGAAGCAAAGGGCTTAATGTTTTCATTGAAGAGATCTTTCACCTTGAGATCTAATCATGTGTAAGCACCCAGAAATTGAACGGGTCCATTTTTTAAAAAATCTGTTGTCTTCTTTCATAAGCAGGTTTTTGATGATAAAACCATAGCTTTTGAGACAGTTTCACCGAAATAGGTAGACTCACGCTGGAGTCAAAGTGCTTATCCACACACAACACAAACATAAATAAACAAGAGAAACTGCTTTTGGTTCAAATTGTTGCAATGTTGACATGCATGGTTAGCTTACTATATGTTGATCGACATATGTGTTTTAATGCTGTTCCATGTACCTGTTTCCCCCAAATGCTGTGCATATTGACGTGTCTCTTATGGTGTAACTAATTTTGAACGTACACGTCAGTTTTAGTTTGAATATTGTTTAGAAACATTACACTAATGATGAACATACGAAGATATAGGTTGTTCAACTTCTATGCTCTAGATTATATCAATAAGTGTGTTTGTTCCTAGAAAAAAACTATTTCACCACTTTTACTAATCATTCACTATAGATGTTTGTCAACAGCACAAATCTAAATCCTTTACTGAATTAATGTATTATACATAATATAACTAAGATTTCAATTTGGTTCAACAACTTGTTTGCAGTAGCCACGAGAGTTGACATATAATAGGCCATTATGTCAAAGGTCACAGTTACCTGATAAGAGTCTGTGTTTGGAATTTCTCTTTCACGATTAATGTTCTCATCACCAAACTTGAGATAATACTTGTTATATGGATGTGTTACTTTATGACAATTCTTGAACAAAATAAGTCTTGTCTTTGAAAGGTGTTCTCAGAGTTAACAAATATTCCGATTATGTATGAAGATGGTTGTCACCATAATTGGGATTTAGTTCCATTAATGTCTCGAGAAACATAATTGAAATATGTGACTAGTTCCATAGTTATGGATACTTTCTTCCTCAGTATTAAATTAATGACGATGTTGTTGCCCCCCCACCCCCACCGGTAGGTGTTTGTCACAATCGCAAAAGTGAAGCGATTTACTGTTTTTCTTATTATTTTAAATTATGCTTATTTTTAAAGAGCTTGTTGCAATAGCCGCGAGAATTGAAATACTGTGTAAATTATATTGACATCAACATTTCACACAGGCCAATAGCTGAAAGCAGAATGTTAGCTGTTTCCTGAAACTCTTCCTTAGATTAAACAAATATTCTGATGGTGTATGATGATTTTTGTCACCGCTATTGAGATTTAGTTTATTGTTAATTTTTGAAGATAATTTGAAAAAAATATATTGTATAACAAAAAAATAGAAGCCACGTAATGGTTGAAAGTTAAAAAGTTTGGGAAAATCTAACTGAAGTGTTTGATATACTAGTATTAATTATGACAATAATTGCTGGAGAAACACGATTGACATCATATTGTTACAAATTTATTACTATTTTCGCCCTCAATATTAAACAAACAATAGTTGAACACCAATGCTGCTGCCAATTAGTTTAATGGCTGACTTTGTTGAAATTATAAATTGTGGACATATTCAAGTGAACTACAATGCTATAACACTTGCTTTTCTCTAACTTACCTGACGGCATGTTTCAGATGATATGCTCAATTTGATCCACATATGTTCCTCTCTTGTCGCCATACATGTTAACATGCAAATATAACCTTTTCACACCTGTTATAAGTACTAATTCCGCTAGATTTGCATTATTTTATATGTAAACATTCTTTATGATAAACATAATATTCACCAATAATGTTTATTCACCTTATGTACTGTTTTCCCTTTCCTCAAAACTGGGTTAATAAAAACTCTGATTCATTTGTGATGTCACTATACATTAAAATCTAATTGTGATCTTCTGTGACACCAAAAGGTCTTTTGATCAGACGGGTTTGACATAACAGTACATCTCAGAAACTGTCACACCTACCTTCATTGTTAACAGTTCAGAACACACATGCTGTTCCACGACACGCATATGACCCCTGTCAGCAATGTGAACAGTTCCAAACATACACATGTTGTTCTAAGACACGTCAAGGACCCCTATCAGCAGTGTGAACAGTTCCAAACATACACATGTTATTCTACGACACGCCCATGACCCCAATCAGGAGTGTGAACAGTCTTACTTTGTTACCACATGTTGTTGGTCAACAAACTGACCACAGGGCCAGAACAGTTTCCTGGTCGCTCCCTGTCAAACATTACAATTCCTTTCAAATGAAAAAATCAATAAACTACTTCACTTTCACAGTTCAATATCGATCCAACAGAAAGTTGTCACACCGAGTCTGCCCTCCTGATACGAACTTTGCAATAAATGATCTCTGCAGTGTGATGGCAACAGCGAACACATAACGATTGCGACTGCACCAGAGTTGTATCATGACAGTACAATCAGTTATCCTCTTTGTGCAAATATCGAACTCATAGGCGATCATTCAATAGCACAAGGGTAATCTGACGATTCTAATGAACTGCCACATTTTACATATAGACTATTTATATTACTACTACTACTACTACTACTACTACTACTACTACTACTACTACTACGACGACGACGACGAGAAGATAACCGGTTGCGCAATCCATACGGGACGTTGTAAATATTTCGCGGACCATTACATAGCATTGTTCGCTAGATTACAAATACTGAAAACGGCGAATAAATGTTTCGACCAACTGTAATCTGCAGCGTCGCCATTTGTCGCAAAGATAAAAACAACGGAGGCAGCTTCAGTGTGTAGAGTTTCCTTTCCTCTCCGATTATGAACCATCGATAATTCAAATTCGCCAACTTTGTTTCACTCCGGACATTTTATATTTATTGCAATGGTCATTATGAATTATTTGATCTGTATTTGGGTGTATATGACAGTTATATTTAATATGTATAAAAGACCTAATGTTATGATTGTCATAAGAGGAATGTGCACACACCGATAACCATAAAGCAATGGCATAGCAGTCGGAAATGTTCCCCTCTATTTTCACTTGTTCTATCCACGGGGGGCGGTCGGGTAGCCTAGTGGTTAAAGCGTTCGCTCGCCAAGCCGAAGACCTGGGTTCGATTCCCGACATGGGTACAATGTGTGAAGCCCCTTTTCTGCTGACCCCCGTCGTGATGTTGCTGGAATATTGCTAAAAGCGGCGTAAAACCATACTCACTCACTCTTTCCACGGATAATCAGATATGGCAATATGGGAATGTTACAACATTGTCAAATATATTCCAGTTTTACGCCACTAGATGCAATAACATATGAAACGTTTAACACATGGGGTGCAATATAAACACATAAACCAACTTACACGTCCTAACTTGATCCGATCGGAGTCAACTCTACAAGAATGGTGACGTTGGGGTCTAGCCTACTCTCTCTGGGTATGCCTTTAAGTATTTGCAGGGAGAAAGTTCTGTAATACAATAGAAACACAAGGCTTGACAATATAATTACGTTTCACCTTGAAATCTAATCATGTGCAAGCACCCAGAAACTGAACGGGTCTATTTTTAAAATAACAATCTGTCGTCTTTCATAACCAAGTTTTTGATGATAAAACCATAGCTTTTCTTCGAAATAGGTAGACTAAGAGTGAAAGTGCTTATCCACACAAAACATAAATAAACATGAGAAACCGCTTTTGGTTCACATTGTTGACATGCATGGTAAGCTTACTATATGTTGATCGACGTACATGTATGTGTTTTAATGCTGTTCCATGTTACTGTTTCCCCGAAATGTTGTGCACATTGCCGTGTCCCTTATGGTGTAACCAATTTTGAACGTACACGTTAGTTTTAGTTTGAATATTATAAGAAACATTACACTAATTATGGACATACGAAGATATAGGTTGTTCAACTTCTATGCAATAGATGATATCAATAAGTGTGATTGTTCCTAGAAACATTCTATATTACCGCTTTTACTCATCATTCATTATAGATGTTTGCCATCATCACCAAACTCAATCCTTTACTGTTTTAATATATTATACATAAAATAATTAAGATTTCAATTTTGTTCAACAGCTTGTCTGCAGTAGCCACGAGAGTTGAGATATAATAGGCCATTATGTCAAAGGTCACGATTACCTGATAAGAGTCTGTGATTAGAATTTCTCTTTCACGATTAATGTTCACATCACCAAACTTAAGATAATATTTGTTATATGTATGTATATCTATATGACAACGCTTTGGTCAAAATATGTCTCGTCTCTGAAAGGTGTTCTAAGATTTAACAAATATTCTGGTGATGTATGATGATGGTTGTCACCATAATGAGGATTTAGTCCATTAATGTCTGGAGAAACATAATTGAAATGTGT